GCTAGCCTTGAGCTGAAGAGCTGAGGGACAGCGCTCAGGCCCAGAGTTCAGGCCCCATGACGGGACCCAAAAAAAACAAAAACATGAGCTAGAGGGAGGCTGAAAGGCCAGGGCAAGAGAGGCCCAGAGGCCAGGGAAGGGAGCCAGTAGGCTCTGGAAGGAGAGGAGACCCAGGCAGGCATGCAGGGCAGGGTCCTGGACTCTGGTGTGGTAACTAGGACAGGGAGATGACAATATGGACAAGAGAATGGCTGAGGATAACTTGATCTGGTGAATGAGAAAGAGCCGGACGGTCTGAGGGAGGAAGCCTGGGGCCTGGACCCCTGGCTCTGAGGGAGGAGGGCTGTTTGCTTGGTGCCTTCTCTAGGACACTTGTGTGGATCCGTCAGGGTCCCGGTTATCCTGGCGCCATGCTGTAGCTGGGAGTGTGATCTGGGGCCTCCCAGCTGGGTGACTGGGGTCCTGCCCTGAGCACAGGCTGAGGCACACAGCATGGCCGTAGTTCCATTTCTTTTGGCCGGTCATGGGGCTCGAACTCTGGGCGCTGTCCCTCAGCTCTTCAGCTCAAGGTGAGCACTCTATCACTTGAACCACAGTGCCACTTACGGTTTTCTGAGTGGTTTATTGGAGATAAAAAGTCTCACAGACTTTCCTGCCCAGGCTGGCTTTGAACTGGGATCCTCAGATCTCAGCCTCCTGAGTCGCTAGGATGACAGGCGTGAGCCCCCGGCATGACCATGGTTCTTGCAGGAGCAGAGGCGGCTGCACCAGGAGCGGGAGCGGGTGGAGCATCTTCGCCAGAGACTCCGGGATGCTGAGGGGCAGCTCGATTCCCAGCCTGAGGACCAGCGGGAGCGCTTTCTGCATGGGGTACAAGAGGTGAGAATCTCCCAGAGATGAGGGTGTCCCAACCCCGCCTCCCTCAGACCCAGGCATCCAGGAGTCCTGGCCCCGCCCACTGCTTCCCTGGGCTCCAGCATCCGGGCCTCTGTCCACCACAGATGAGGGAGCAGCTGGATGTGGCCCAGCGGGCCTATGAGGATCTGGAGTTCCAGCAGCTGGAGCGCGAGAGCCGGCAGGAGGAGGAGGACAGAGATGGCCCTGGGGCCTCAGTGTCAGACCCCAAGGTCCAGGAGCTCCAGGCCAGCGTGGCGCAACACAGGGTGAGCCCAGGGCACTGTCCCGCCCCGTCCCTGACTATGTCTGCAGCCCACGGCAGCTACTGAGAACTGGCTTGGAATCTTACCACAAGCCCTCCAGGCAGGCCCTGGGTTTTATCTTGTTTTTCTATTTTTGAATATGTGTGTGTGCTCTGCTGGTACTGGAACTTGAACTTAGGGCCTCTTGCTCTTGCTTGGCTTTTTTTTTCCCCCTCAAGGGTGGTGCTCTACCACTTGAACCACAGCTTCACTTCTGGCTTTTGGCTGGTTAATTGGAAACTCTTGTCTTCCTGGGCTTTTCTGCCTGGGCTGACTTCAAACTGAGATCCTCAGATCTTAGCCTTCTGAGTAGCTGGGATTATAGGCATGAGCTAATAGCACCTGGCTTTTTTTTTTTCCTTTTCCTTTCTCCTTCCTCCCTCTCTTCCTTCCTTCCTCCTTGTCTTGACACGGTCTAGCTATGTAGCCCAGACTGGCCTTGAACGCTCCAGCCTCCTGATGCAGTCTTCCCAGTGCAGGAATTACAGGCATGCCCTGACATGCTGGTGTCTGTTTTGTTGTTTTTTGTTTTTTTGGTCGGTCCTGGGACTTGAACTCGGCTTGGGCTCTGTCCCTGCACTCTTCGGCTCAAGGCGAGCGTTCTACTACTTGAGCCACAGCATCACTTTCGGTTTTTCTGGTGGTTTATTGGAGATAAGAGTCTCACAGATGTTTCTGTCCAGGCTGGCTTTGAACCACGATCCTCAGATCTCAGCCTCCTAAGTAGCAAGGATTACAGGCGTGAGCCACCATTGCCTGGCTCTGTTTTGATGTTGGTGGTGGTGGTGGTGTTGGTCATGGGCCCTGACCTCTAGGCCTGGGCACTGTCCCTGAGCTCTTCAGCTCAAGGTGAGTGTTCTACCACTTGAGCCACAGCACCACTTCCAGTTTTATGGTGGCTCATTGGAGATGAGTCTCACAGACTTTCCTGCCCAGGCTGGCTTTGACCAAGATACTCAGATCTCAGCCTCTAAGTAGCTAGGATTACAGGCGTGAGCCACCGGCACCTGGCTGGTGTCTATTTTTATCTTGTCTTCTTTCTCTGCCTTTTCTCTACAGCACTGCCTTTATGCATCTTTCCTGGTCACGATGCTATGGTTTTATCCGGGCATTTGTTTGCTCTCTCTCTTCTCGCTTCTTTCTTCTCCGTAAGTCTCTGCCTTCCTGGATCTCTGCCCTCTATAGCCCATCTTCCATTCCCTAACCTGTCCCAGATCTCTTTGGACACAAAAGAAAAAAGTTTGAAACACAGGACTCATCCCTCCCCCTCCTCCAGTTCCTGCTGTCATTGATTGGGGTGGAGCGAGGTGGTGGGAGGGCAGACTGAGGGGGCAGGTGGGTCACTGGGGCTGGGGCCCCTGCAGCGTCGCATTCAGGTCCTAGAGGAGCAGCTCGGATCGCTGGGGGAGCAGATGGCTGCCGAGAGCCGGGGGCTGAGCCGGAAGAAGGAGGAGGCCCTCCAGGCCCTGACGCAGGTACATTTCCCCAGACACCTGTCCTCCATCCTCCCTTGCTGTGGGCCTTCCCCCAGCCGCCCCCCCCACCCCCATATTTCCTGGCTTCAGGAAAAGCCACAGGGGTGGAGGGGGGTGGCCCTCGCTCACTGTCACATGGTGGGCCATGGGGTTTGTAGGAGCGGAGTCGACTGTTTGAGCTCAGCAGCCTGCATGAGACGCCCGGAGGTGACTTCTCAGAGCCCAGCCAAGCCCTCACCAAGGTATCATGTGCCAAGAGCCTCCTCCCTCAGACCCAGAGGCCCAGCCTCTTCCCTCAGACCCAGGGGTCTAGGCCCCAGCTTCCTTGGAACCAAGCCTTGGTTTCTTCATTTGAGATCTGGGTTGCCAGTAGAAGCAGGGACCCAAGCATCTGGGCACTGCCAGTTCCTCCCCACCCCCACCCCCACCCCCCAATGCCCGGGTCTCCCCTTCACCTCTCTCCAGCTCCTGTTCACCCAGAAGACTGACCGCCAACTGCTGGTGCTGCAGGACCCCGCCGCCGCCGCCACCGCCGCTGCCTCTTCCTGTCTCTTCTCCGTCCACAGCTCCCTGCAGGTGCCTGGAAGCCACTGGTTTTTCCCATGAGGCTCTCTGGTCAGTGGGGTGGTTGGGGGTGCTGAGAGCAGAGCCCCAGGGCCCAGGCTGCTGGTGGTTTTCTCTGGCTGGTTCATTGCAGACAAGTCTCAGGGACTTTCCTGCCTGGGCTGGCTTCCAATGTCCAGCTTCAGATCTCAGTCTCCTGAGAAGCTGGGATTACAGGCGTGAGCTACCCACATCTAGCCTGCACTGGCTAGTTTTGAGATTGGGTTTTGCTTCTTGCCCAGGCATGTGCCTGAACTGTAATCCTCCTGTTGTAGGCCTGTCTTCATAGCTGGAATGTCAGCATACATTCCCATTCCAACCCCAGCAGCGTCTTTTGTTAAGATGGATTCTAATGGATGTTTCTTGCCAAGGCTTGGTCCTAAACCTCGATCCTCCCAATCTTAACCTCCTAAGTAGCTAGTATTACAGGTGTGAGCCACCAGCACTGACTTTGCTCATATGTTCATCTTCCCAAACTTTCCTTTCTAAAATGGGGAGTCTCATGGCAGTTGGAATTGGGGTTGAGTGGTAGGGTGTTTGCCTAGTATTCAAGAGGCCCTAGGTTTCATACCCAGCACTGAAGAAAAACCCAAACCTTCTTCCATAAAAAAATCCTCCAGGGCTGGGAAGGTGGCTCAGTGGTAGAGCGCTTGCCTTGCATGCCTGAGGCCCTGGGTTCGATTCCTCAGCACCACATAAGCAAAAAGAAAAAA